CAGAGCTATTATGCAGGGCGGTATCCTCGGTATCCAGGCAAAAGAAGAAACAATCAACACGCAACCAACCAACAAGAAACCTGCCATCAAGGGGGGGAAGCAGAAAGAGGGGGGCGGCCAAAGCACCACACACACCACACCACAAACCACACAGAAGAAGAGAGGAGAGGAGCCAGGAGGCAGCAGGGGACAGAGGGAGAACGTGACACACACGCACCAGAAGGGGTACGAACGTGCCTTAGCGGAGTCCAAAAAGGGGCCAAGGATCATACCATGAATACCTCAGTGAGGGAGCACACAGCACCCCAACAACACAGGAAGCATGGTGTAGAGGGAAAAATCCCCACACAGGGCCAAAGGCCTTTGTTGCCATGAGACACAATGAAGAGGGGAGACAATGCGCCACAACACTCCACGCACAGAGGCAAGGCAACCAGGCCGTCGCCGGAAGCAACGATACCCAGAGGGAGGGACCAGTAAAACCTGGGCCAAGGCGCCAAAGAGGACCATCCGAGGGGGAGGGGGGGCCACGTCAGGCAGGGAACAAATAAACAAAAACAGAACCATAATACAAGGCACCAACACCTAAGGTAGCTCTGCTAAGGGCAAAAACTAGGGATCAGTAAACGAATTCAAATACCTTAACTAGTGGGAAGGGTGGGAGAGTGGTTGTCTCGTCAATACTAAGTCTGGGAATAATAACATCAGTTTCGTCACCCATCTATGATTGTCAGGCAAAGGCTGCGAGAGCACTCGCCAGTGCAATAGGCTTCATGGTGGAAGAGACCTTAGTATAATCTAAGCTCTCGACTGGACAGCACATTCAAATCACCAGTGCAAAGGTAATATATACTGCCCGATCTGTTACGCCTGAGCTGGCACTCACACCTACTACATATGAGTGTGGCTACTAACTGTTTGAGTGGTCTGAATAGGTAGGGGCCGGGCATGCTCAGCACGATGAACCTGACAATTATAAATGAGGAAAAGCTGAGTCCCCTGCTGCATACCAGTGCACCTGTCACGTCTTTGGACAGACACACCGGTATGGACAGTAACCTTAAGTGGAACTGACGAAAAGACCAAATAGAGAAGTAAGCCAACTCCCACCAACATTGTTGATGAAGCAAAAGCCACATATTGCGTGAGGGACAATGCGGAGTGAAACAGAAAAGTGGGGAAAAGAAGAGGAGAGAAGGGGTGGACACAAAGAGGGTATAAGTGATGAGAACTGGGGTGAGCGTGGGATCATGTCATACCTCTCGTGAAATGTTCCAAATAATGCTTTTTATCTGATGTAATGGTGTCGTTCCATTCGTTGGTGAGCCCAAACGAAACTGGGTTCACTCTTTGTTGATCAATAGCACGCTGCAGAAGCGCTCGGATCGCCCTTTGATGTTCGTCCAGGTCTGTCGCAGGAACCCTCCGGCGGACTTTCCTGTCTGGGAAGTTTCGTTCCCGCAGGTTGGTTTGCAAGGCATGTCCCGCTACATAAACTGCAGGTTGCTGGAATAAGACGCGCTCTGCAAATCTGTGGAGATGCACTGTCCACTCAGCAAACATATGGCTGTGCGACAGTTGATTCCTGAGTCGCGCTTCCGTTTGATGGAGGCTCCCATTGGTATGCCACAATCGCAAAAGACTGTAGTTGGAAGGCCAATCAAGTGGGCACAGTGTGGCTGTTTCTTTCCACTTCTCGGGTGTGAGGGAATGATAATTTCCAGAGTAGTGCGATTCGGTCCCAGTGGTTGGAGACCTCGCATCATGTATGGTTCAACGAGCCCTGTTGTATCCATGGATGAGCTCCTGGAAACATCCAGCCATTTGAAAGTCTTCATCCAAACCAAGGCGAAAACCAGGCATGTTTTTGGCAGCAAATTTAACTGCCTGGAGCAACTGCTTTGCTCCCTCCACCGGAGTCTCGTCACAGGAACGTTTCGGGCACGCGATGTTGATTTCTTGTGGTTTCTGCGCATTCTCAGGAGCATTCTCGAGAAGTTTGGGAGCAATTTTGCTGGTCCAGCGGGAACCATGCCAGTAGGGAGGCACCACTCGTAAGGTCCACTAGCCCATTAACTGGGCCACTCGGCGCTCGACTCCGGTTCACGTCAGAGCTCTCTCGGGCCGAGCTAATGAGTTCAGACAGGATGGACCGAAACCAGTATGTGGCATACAGCAAACATTCAGTTTCTGGAGTCACCATGGATTCAGCCAATCTTATCAACGAGCTCAACGCCTGGGCGAGCTTCTCTGCCAAACGAATTGTGAGAGCCCTTGCCGCCTGGAGGAGGACATCCTCCGCCCTGGCAATTTGCCCGCGCAACCAAAGTTCACAGGCCACACTCAGCAAGATGCGCGCAAACTTTTCTTGGATGGCAGTCAAAGGCAACGTCAATCTTGCCTGTAGCCATAACGGTGGGAGAGCTCTAAGGTTTTCGGGTGTGCAAAAAGGGTTTCCGTTGAGTTGGACATTAGAAATCAGGATTGCTAGCTTGTCAGCTGCACTCGCGATCTCATCTTCAGAGGGATCTTCCACTGCATCAGGAGTAGGTAGGCACCATGCAACTGTAGGGTCTTCTGGATCACTCTCGGAGAGGTCATTCATGTCTTCTGCACCCTCAGGGCTTGCGAATTTCATGGACCATGGATCAATCTGGCAATCCAATGTGTCCAAGAGGTCTGGTTGCAACCGATGGGCATCGAAATAATGACGCCCTCCTCGGTTCCCCAAGCAGTCCTAGGCTGTCTTGAGCAAAAGCTGAAGACACAGACCTGCACGTGGTTGCTCCGCTCACTCAAAATGAACCCAGGACCCTCTGAACACAGACTCCCCTCCCTGACATTCTCAGACTACACTCAGTTCTTGCATGCCGAAAAAGGGGAAAACCTAAGAATCCTCAAAGGAAGCTTGGGATAAAGCTTGACTAGCGACCTCCCTAACTGCCTACTCCCTACCTGACTACTTTGAAATGCCACAACCTTGCTCCCACAAGAATCCCTCCTCTGGATTACTTCCCTCACATTTTCACCGAAAGTGAGCTGTTATCCGAGGTTCTGATCCTGTCAAGGTGCTTGACAAACAAATGGACATCTTATGAGTGAATTAAATAAAAGAGAGGATCGGAGAGCTCCGCTGGCAGCCAAAAATGCATCCCTCTCCAAGCTCTTAGCCTGCAGAAAAAGGTTACCGTGATGCCTCCTTGCTTTCAGGTGGCATCACTTGCCTGCTCTGCTTCACTCACTCAGAACCTGCATCGCGTGGCAGCTATGATGTTGGGGCGCGTGCCGAGCAAGGTCTACACCACGGTCGGTCCCAAGTCACTGCCTCATCGCCATCCTCAGTGAACATTGGGTCAGTCAAGCGCTGTGCCTTGTCCGACTTGAAGTAGTGCATGCACAGCGGCACCTGCTTGAAGCTCTGCAAGTGGAGTGCGCTTCTCGGAGTTGCCAGATTTCCCGATGGGCGTGACCAGCGGTCCCTCCGCTTCGTCTTCTTCACGGTTTCCCGCAGCCACTTGGCGGCCTCTTTGTCTCTGCAGAAGCCCGACAAATCGGTATCTCTTCTCTAGGCTATCCAGTCCGAAGCGTCCTCGAAGGTCTCACCCATCATCACACCCTGTGGCTCCTCCGGCTCGGTGGCGACCCGCAATGCACGCGTGACGATGACTTCGCCACAGTACAAGGACTGTAGGACCAACGGCCATAACTCCTTCCACACTTCTGCACGCTCTGCTGCCACGGCCAGAGGGAATCGCCTCAGCAGCGCGTTAGGCAGCACCACTCCATTCCGCGCCTCTGGCTTCTCCGTCAAGCATGCGATCTGCAGAGTGGCCGGTGGGAACTTTATTTATTGGCTGCCGTTGGGAGCTCTGCCAGCCACAACTGACCCCCTGAACTCATCTCCAGGATCTTGGGTGGGAGCATACTTCCCTTAATCGTTGTAAGGCGATTCCAAATAACTTCTTCTTGGGTGGATTCAGGGTTGCCGGCATAGTGCCTAGAAATACGACCCTCTCAGGTTCTGGAAGCTGCAAGGAGTGTCTTCCCTGGTGTTTCCACATCCAGATAGGTCCGTCAACAAGAGCGCGGTGCCTAAAAATAGAACCGTCTGTGGCCTTCGCACCAGCTGGAAACGCCTTCCCGATCTTCCGCCAAGTCAGCAAGGAACGCCTTCTCGGTGTCTCTCCAGGGCAAAAAAAAGGTCCCTCTTTGCTGTTGTAGGTACAAAGAAACCATCGCGCCCCCTTCAAGCCCCTTCGTGCCCCCTTCAAGCCCCCTTCAAGCCCCCTTCAAGCCCCCTTCAAGCCCCTTCGTGCTTTCTGAAGCCTTCATGATGGTTAGGCCCCTTGAAGCCCCCTTGAAGCCCCTTCGAAGCCCCCTTGAAGCCCCCTTCAAGCCCCTTTTGAAGGTGAAGGGTACTATCAATTTTAGTCTTTAGATCCTTCCTGCCCCTTCAAGCTTTCTCCTTAAGCCTTAAGCCCCCCCTTAAGCCCCCCCTTAAGGTACCCCTTAAGCTCCCCCCCCTTAAGCCTTCAGCCTTCCCCCCTTAAGCCCCCCTTAAGCCCCCCCTTAAGCCCCCCTTAAGCCCTTCCTTAAGCTCCCCCTTGAGCCCCCCCTTAAGGTACCCCTTCAAGCTCCCCTTTAAGCCCCCTTCCAGCAAGGGTACCTTGCACCCCCCCTTAAGCCCCCCCTTAAGGTACCCCTTAAGCCGCCCCTTAAGGTTGCGCTGTTTGAAGGGTGAAGGGCCCAGTATGAAAACAAAAGCAACGCAAGAGGAAAACAGCAGCAGCAAACCAAACAAAAACAACCAGCAGAACAAGCCAAAGGGAGTGGTGATCGCGAATCAGTCCATGGGGGAGACGCCGAGCCCGTATGATGTGCAGAGGCAAAGTTTGCTTGGATATACTGCCCGGGTTCACGATGATTTGGTGAGGTGTCTGACCTGTGACGTGTTCGCGGCCGTCTACTTTCCAGTTTGACAATTTTGCGAGGTACTTCAACTCTAAAGCACTGAGCATCTCTGCCAGAAATGAGAAATGCACCAACTGTTGCCAGAGATTGACTGTCTTTGTCATACTCAAGTGCCCCGTCAGTGAAGAAGCCTGTAAGGACCGAGCCTTTAGCGCGACATCGGCCAAACTCGAGGAAAAAAAAGCCCCGTCAGTGAAGAAGCCATGGTTTTTCGGCTGGCCTGGCAACCAGTCTCGCTTTCCCGTGTGAAAAATCATCCTATGTATAGCTAGCGTAGCGATCTTGTGCTTGAACTTAGGTAGTTGTTAGTTGCTTTGTAGTTGTAGTTTGTGGACTTGCGTAGTTTGAGCTTTGTTTTGTAACGTAGTTAGCAGGTGATTGTGATGTAGTCAATCGATTTCATCTCATTCCGTCACAAAGAGTTGTGACGGAGTTGCCATTTTTCGTTTGTAGTTAGCCGTTTTTAGGTTTCCTGCACGTTGTAGGGTATTCCACACGAGAACCAAACTGCACGAAACCAATCTTAGGTTTTTAGGAACCGAGAAACTTGTTTTACACGTTTCTAGATTGGTAGAATCGTTTTTGCACAATTAAGTTTGTAGAGATTTTGGAATCTCCTTGACTGGACCGGAATCCAGTTTGCTTTACCCACAGAAACTCACTTAGTTTCTGTGTTCTGAACTGTGTTTACCAACGTGAACGTTGGCTCAAGCCTGCGAGAGCGAAAAGTGTGTGAGTGTGTCGCCGTGAGACGGCCTGGGAGAGTCGATACTGCAGAAACGCGAAACGATCGCCGTTTGTTTGTGTTTTGGTTTGGGTTTACTTTGAGCACGAGAGGTTTGAAAGCGGTTTTCGCGATCTAACTTTGTGTGTCAAAGTTTTACGTGGTAGCGGAGCTTGTGTGCTCCCTCCACAAGAGATCCTGTGAGGATCTGGCACGCCTGTGTGCGTCTTGTGTGTGCCTGGTTCCAGGGAAGTTGGTGTGAGTTGCGTTTGACTGTCGTGTGTTTGACTCCGAGGTGTCAGAAATGTCTCAATCAGGACAACCACAGCATTTTCGCATGGACGGCCAAGGTACCCAGAGCGGAGAGAAAGGATATGGTAAGGGTTTTCAGGCAGGTGGACCGACTGGACCGTACCCTGTTGGAGAAGTTGGACCGAGGAGTCCGCAACCTGCGTCACCGACGCACCAAGAGCAGCCTAGTATGCCAGGAAGTCCAGGTCCGCAAGGTCCTTTGTTCACGCCAGATCAGTTGACCCAGATCGCACAGATCTTCCGCATGGGAATTGAGCCTGTCGTAAGGGAAATGAGTACGAGACTTGATGGTTTGCAAGCTCAGGTGACTCGCGTTCCAGAGGGAACTGCAGCCTTGCACGGTGCGAGACCGGCTGATGCATCCTTGTCTTCAGGTTTAAGCAGTGGACCTTCACGGTTTGGTGAACAGCCACCCACGAGTCCAGGACCTGCGTTCCGACCTGTGGGGTCGCCGCCAGGTATAGCACAAGTGACACCCCAGAGGGGGGAGAGAAATCCGAATCAAGATGACGAGAGAGATGGTCGTGACATCTTCAGTAAATCTGAAAAATGGTTACCTCCTATGCCCACTGTGGATTTCAGGAACTGGAGAACCCGTGCAGATGAAGTCCTTGGATTTTCGGACTGGGTTCAGGCTTTACGTGCTTGGGTTTCCTTAGGAAGTGACATCTTTGCCTGGGAGATTGCCCAGTGCATTGGTTGGGAACAAGAGATTCATATGTCTGTGCTGAAGCCCGCTCAACAGACTCGAAGTGCGCGTCTTCTTGCAATCCTCATTCAGACGTTCAAGGATTTCCCAAGGGGGAGCACCATGCTGCAAGCTTATGTTGAAGGAGTTGGTGTTGATGGAGCGTTCTTGGCAACCAGAGGTACGAGTGGTTTTGAAGGTTTGCGTTTGTTGGCAAGAGAGTTTTCTTTGCGTTCAAGGGCAGAAGCGTCTTTCTTTCGCACTGAGTTTTTGGCAAAGACGTTCAAGGCGTCTGTTGGTGTTACGCAGGTGAGTGACATCATCCGCCAGATCGACGTTGGACTGTCAAGGTTTCGCAAGATGATTGAAACTCTGCCTGCAACTGTGTCCAGAGTTGGACTTGAGGTGCAAACAAGTGATCTGACCATCATGCTTTTACGTTCGTTGCCACATGATGTTCGTTCGTACACCACTTTGCATGCAGCAGGTGATGCTTATACTGACCTTCGCACTGCTGCGTTGCGTTTTGAGACGCAGCAACGCATGTTTGCTGAGTTGAGTGGCCCATCTTCATCAGGTGCACGAGGTGTGCATGCACTTGAAAGTGCTGAGACCGCTGAAGAGTGGTGGGGATACGATCAGGAAGGTTATGACAACTCTGAGTATGCCCAGGAAGAAGATCCTGATGATCAATGGGAATGGGACGAAGATGCACAGGTTTGGATCAGTGCTACTGTTGCCAAAGGAAAGGGAAGTCCCAAGAGCACGATGAAGTGTCATCTGTGTGGCAGGCGAGGCCACATGGCCAAGCAATGCAAGGCCGATCTGAGCAAGGTGAAATGTTTTCATTGCTCGAGATTGGGTCACATTGGGGCACAATGTCCTGACAAGCCCAAAGGTGACAAGGGAAAGCAGCAGAAGAAGCCCCAGCCGAAAGCTGGAAAGAGCAAAGGTAAGGGAAAGATGCACGAGTTGGCAGAGGAGAGTGGGCAGGAAGCTGCTCCAGCACAAGGTGAGGTGCTGATGCCATTGATTTCTTCAGTTGAACATTCGGATGATGAGTGGCGATGGTGGTTGATTGACAGTGGAGCAGCTGTCTCAGTGTTGTCTGAGCAGTTCAAGGCCTACTACAAGTGCAGCGCAGAAGAGCAGGTGATGGACACCTACTATGCAGCCAATGGGTCTGCAGTCACCATGAGAGGTGAAGTTCAGGTGACAGTTGCGTTTGAGACGGGATCTGGTTCCAAGAAGTCTCAGAACTTTCGTTTGAAGTGCTGCGTAGGCTCCACCAGCCACAACATTGTGAGCACAACCCAGCTTGTGAAGCGTGGATGGACAGTTGTTCAGTCGCCAGGTGAGACCTATCTTTGGCATGAAGAGTCGAATACCGTGATTACTGATGTGGTGTTGTGGGGAGGATGTCCCTGGCTGAGAGCCAAGAAGACAACATCTCAGGTTCCTGCTGTGAAGGATACCTACATGCCGATGGAAGTTGATGTGCCAATGGAGTCAGTGAGGACCGGGCAAGGCTTGACTGTTGGTATGGTAGGTGCGGTTGAGTTGTCAACCCAGGAGAGACTGCGTCAACACATCTTGAGAGGCCATTATCCGTATGACCCTCATTGTTTGGAATGTCAACAGGGCCGTGGTGTTTCCAGAGCACCCAGGCGAGATTTGAAAGAGCGCTTGCTTGAGGTACAGGTTGACTTCATGTTCTTGGGAACAGTTGGATCGCAGTACAAGTTTTTGTTGTTTCGTCACTGTCTCAGTGGTTTGTTGGGTGTCTGCGCTGTGAGCGAGAATCTTGACACCACCGGCCAACATGTCCGCCAGATCTTGGCAGAGTTTGGACTGTTGTCTGGAGATCCAAAGCCGATTGATTTCAGGTCAGATGCGTCCGATGAACTCGGGACGACGTTGAGAAGAGCTGGTATTCCAAGAGAATTTACCGTCAGCAAAGCAGGTCCCCAGAACCATGATACTGTTGGTTCAGTGGAGCGTGGAGTCCGTGAGCTGAAAGAAGGTCTTGCGGTACTGAGACTCGAATTGGGGAAAGCAGGTGTTGACGTGGTCAACAGTTTGGTTGGCTGGGAAGCCAGTTCAAGGTACGTGATTGCGATGCACA